TGTTATGAAATCATTATGAGGATGTCCATAACCGGCCCATATCCGGCCCATGTTCTAGATGGTTCTAGATTTCCTATTCCATCTAGACTTTGCCTATTTGTAATCCTATTTATACTCTTGATTACTGATGGAATAAGACACAACCAATTCAATCTATCCCTCTAGTTTTACAACACTAGTCGAGTTTTTCAAATTCTCTATCTTTTTTTTGTTTCTTTCCTCTCTTAGTTTTTCAAAGCTGTGGTGATTGCATTGAGTGCGGATCGAATGAGCCTACCAGGTTGGAAGATAGAACAACTGCAGCAGCGGCTAGTGCAGCAACCAGAAGTACAGCACTAATGGCTATACCTTTGGGGAAGCCACTTTCACGGGAGAGTCTCCCCGAGATCTCTTTGCTGTACTTGTCAGCTTCTTTGTAAAGAAGCACAGCACTAATGGCTATACCTTTGAGGAACCCACTTCCACGGGAGAGTCTCCCCGAGATCTCTTTGATGTACTTGTCAGCTTCTTTGTAAAGAGAACCATTGGCTCCTCCTTCAGTGATATGTTTTGTGTTCTACAAACATCACAGGTTAGGTCAGAGATGAAATTAAAACTGACTAGAGTCCTAAGAGCTTTTTACCTTTAGCATGAAGCTCTTCATAGTTTGATCGAGAGTTAGAGTATCACTTGGTGATGATGATAGTTTGAGGGAATGATCCTTCCATTCGTATACGAGCCTTCTAAGAAGGGCCACACTAGCTTCTGGATTGTCGTTATAGACATTGTCCCAGTGATTGCAGCAATCAACGTCCCTGGTCAGACACCAGATAGCGATTGATGTAGCTTCCTTGGCTAACGCAGGATTTCCTGTAACAAGGGTAACACATTACAACACTATTGCAGAAAACTCAGGGATTCAGGGTTGCGTTTGTTACTAATACCTTGCCCAGCTAAATTGAGAGAAAAAGTGAATATCTCTAGAGTGAGTTGTTTCATTGCCTCCTTTCCTGGTGCATCGGCAAGAGCCAATTCCTTCAACAAGGGATAAACTGCCTCAAACCTCTCTGTATCCTGTGTGCGAACAGACAGAGAGACCATGATCAGACACGCATCGCATCAAGGTTTTGTTTTATAAATTTCAATACTTACCTTTACTCTCTGGGATGAATCAGGGAATGTAAGCCGCAGCAAGATCTCAAAAGAAGGAAGTGAAATGAGTCGCGCTTCTCCCTTCTTAACAGAATCATTTACAAGTATAGTCCGAGCATTTGGATAGGACACAATGCTGAGAAGAGAATTGCATAAAGAAGATGAGATGATTGCACATACATATTTAGCGGAAAAAGAAGGAAAATTTGGACTCACCTCTCAACCAACTGCAGGATGAGATCCATTGACTGAGGGCTGCTCAATTCATTACCAACAAGTGGTAACAAGTTATACGCCCATGAATACAAACCTAGGCATAAATCAACTCGGGAGACCTGTGGACATTTTACAATTCAATAACATTGTGAACACACAAGACAAAGTTATATCGAGACTGAAAAAGATATGACACAAACCTCAGCCATCATCCAAACTGAAACCGGAAGGTTGACCTCTGCTTGATAAGGCTCCCTCCTCAGAAGGGGCAATACAATACAAAACGCAAGAGGTTTGGTCCGCAAAATCATGGCTAATACAACAAATACTGACAACTAATCGTAAAAGAAAGCAAGCAGAGAACATAGTCAAACAAAGGTAAGTGGATACAGAGCATTCAATTTCAATTGGAGAAAAATATTTGGAAATTTACATGAGATTTGGGAGGAGTACGTTTTCCTGTCAAACGTCAGTGAATATAATTAAATGACCACAATACAAAGCCAGCGACTATGTCAGCTGGAAGTTGGTCGATCCAATCGGATGCTGTATTGTAGACAGCTCGAGGAAACTGAGATAACGGAAACTGATTGATGTTTACAAAAAAAAAGAAAGATAAATCAATGTTTGGAAAATGGAAAAACGTAAAAGAAAGAGAGAAATGGCACTCACGTAGATCACATCGATGAGCTTGTCCATGTTGGGCCATGGAAATTGCACAGATGATACTTCGGAGAGTGCTTCCCCAAAGTAATTGACCAAATTCAAGAGCTCAGTACCCGGTAACAAAACCTATTAAAAAAAAAAAACATAAAGGTTGAGAATTCCAGAACTAGGGTTTAAAGAAAATGATTCCAGTACTACTTACAGGTCTAGTGTTGAGGTAAGCCGCAAGATGTGAAGGATCGATCTTTGCCGCAGCTTTGGCCAAAGACAATTCACCTTCAGATTCGCTCTCTGTCGCGTTTTCACTTTCGGATTCGCTCTCTGACACAGATTCGGCCACAAAAGACAATTCTTTCGGCTTTTCACTTTCGGATTCGATCTCCGACGCAGCTTCGGTCTCAAGGCCATCGTACTCCATTAGCTTTTCTAAACAAATTTTTTTACAGGATGGAAGGTAAATTAGGGTAGAGAGGAACAAGATAAAAACAACTCTCGAGACTTTTATGACCGTCCGATTCTCTTCTTTTACTGGCTACCGTTGGATATAACAACGCAACGACTCCATCTAGATCCACTACACGTCATTCCCAAGTTTTTCCTGTTTTTTATTATATTGTTTTTTTTTTAAATTTACTTTTTACTATTTAATTGATAACTTGATAATTATTTTATTAATTTTCTAGTTTAAAATTTAAAATTTTCTTAATTAATTTTATCTTTTTTTTAAGACAATGATCTTTTTCCTTTTTTATTTGTTCCCCAATCTTTTTTTTTAGAATATACATATTTTTTCATTTTTCAGATTTTTGTTAAAATTGACACATATCACAATCTAAATTAACAACTACATGTATTATAATTCAATGTGTTACAGTTTTACCTACGTATCGCGTTCTTATCGTGCGCATCCTCTTTTGTATAATAAGATAATTACTTCATACATGTTATTATATTAGCAAAATGACATTTACAATATGTAATCTTTCTTTTTTTTAACTATTTTTTTTGTTCGGCAATTCGATAAAATATTTTTGTTGTTGTTGAAGGTTTAGACAATTTGAAATAGTAAAAATGTAATTTTTTAATATGTCAATTTAGAAATATTCCTTTTTTGTAAGACAATGATTTTTTTCCTTTTTTTATTTGTTCCCTAATCTTTTGTTTAGAATATATATTTCCTATTTTCATTTTTCAAATTTTTGTTAAAATTGGCACATGTTATAATCTAAATTAACAATTACATGTGTCGTAATTCAGTGACTTATAATTTTGCATATGTGTCGCGTTCTCATCGTGCGCTTCCTCTTCTATATAATAAAATAATTATCTCATACACGTTATTATATTAACAAAATGATGTTTATAATATGATACTCTTTTTGTTTTTAACTATTTTTTTTGTTCGACAATTCGATAATATATTTTTGTTGTTGTTGAAGGTTTAGACAATTTAAAATAGTAAAAATATATTTTTAATATGTCAATTTAAAAATATTCCCTTTTTTGTAAGACAATGATTTTTTTCCTTTTTTAATTTGTTCCCTAATCTTTTGCTTAGAATATATATTTCTTATTTTCATTTTTTCAGATTTTCAGATTTTTGTTAAAATTGACACATGTCACAATCTAAATTAACAATTACATGTGTCCTAATCCAGTGAGTTATAATTTTGCCTACATGTTGTATACTCATCGTTCGCGGAGACTCAAAACCGCCGACGGTTTTGCCAAAACAAATGGCCACACCACACGCCGACGGCAAGTTCAAGCGTCGGAAAACCGCCGGATTTGATGGAGACGCGAACCGAGGGTGACACGACGGGCACTGCGGGAGCAGTCTTTCCGACGGCTCGAGAAAACAGCCATCGGAGAAGCTCGCTGGAAAACAGAGAAGATGACAAGCAATTTACAAAAACAAAAAACTGGGTTAGCACCGTCTACGGCTTGGGTTGCGACGGCACAGACCGATGGAGAGAAGCGTAGATCCGATCCGAGGCAAATCGGAATCCTTGCCGGAAAACTCAAACCGGCGGCGAG